AAAAAATCAACCACTTTAAAAGCTAGAACAAAGCAGCCTCGAGACATTCCCGTCGTCGCAGCCGTCTGCGATTCTGGATCCATTTGCGCGGGAAATAGATGTATTCCCATCAGATAAATCGCAGTATCAACACCGCCATTAGCCGCGGCGTGATGTTGTGTTAGCCCGGCTTCCACGCCCGACAACTCGCCGGGGACATCGCCCACACAACCGGCACCTCTTCATCACAGATTACCCTACACTTATCCACACCACAAATCGCTCGACTGACTCTTATCGCCCCCACTCTAGCGCCCATATATTTCCATCTTTTGTATTTGCCTGGAACCATTGGACGTGCATCTCGCCCGTCTGATAGCGCGGGAACAGCCGGCGACGTTGCCTCAGCACCCGGCGTCGTTGTCATTCGTCGGAATTCCCCGATGTGGTGACACCTGGTGACCCGCGCGCAAATTTCATTCCGCGCCCATAATCAGCATTACTCCGCCAATTCCTCGGTGGCTACCTCCCCGCTATGATTAGATGTTACGGTTTCAGGTACACCGCCGCTAAGTGAGTCGCCTGTACGTACAGTGCGTCTCAGAGAAGGATATCTTCTTTCGCGGGTCGGTGTGCGAGTGTCTGCTGGTCTATCTGATTTTTCAGTGTGCGGTGATGGAAATGGTTTCAGCTCACACTGATATGATATAGGATGTGAGGTGTAATATTTTCAATAATTCATCACTGAAATGCAGTCCGCCGCAAGGCAACACCACAGATTCAGTTAGCACGATTATATTTGGCAACATGAGATGGTAACAAGAAGAAAGAAAAAGACGTTGTAAAATCCGGACGCTGAAGTAGACAGGACATATCAAGGTGTAGCTCGTGTAAAGTTTGAGCAGTGGACCGGCAATTGTTGACGAAGCACAAAGTGCACCAATTAGAGAGGTAAGGTGGAAAGGGACGTTTGTCTGTGACAGGAAGAAAGAAATCGCGCAAAGACACCGGAAACAATACATCTGTATTCACAGAATATTGAATAAGTAAATATAGCAGTTAAGCCACTGGATCCTTCATAGATGGTGTATTGCTGTTTAAAATCACAGTTCAGAGCTTCAGGTACGTGTAATTACATTTACGATTTCTAGGTCTGCTGCATATACAAAAGTATGTCTTTAGCAACCAGGAAATATAGGATAGGATAGGTCCTCATCCTATTCTTTTAGTGTGATCCGGTCTCCTGCAGAGCAAACTTAATGGACCAGTTGCTCTGTAAGAAACACCGCAGCCAGCACTCTAAGGGGATGACCTCTCACGATAAAATTAATTTCATACCTTGCCGGCAACTTTCCCGCCATGTTATCACACAGCCCGTACCGCCGGCCAACCGTGGCCACACGGACCTGCAGGTAGATGGCATATTTCATGGTTGCCATAGCGACGTCACCCTGGGGACGAGAGAGAGTGCTGCTAGCATACGATCGTCTGATACGTTTCTCAACTTTGGTGAGGAGGATGGAAGGGGAAATGAGCTGCAGGAATGCAGGAGGGGACAGAACTTGACGGATGGCTGGCGGGGACGCATGGGGCAGATAGTGTTGCATGTGCATAAATGTTTCAATGAGTAATAAAGTCAGTACTTGTGGTGTCACATGGAGAATAAAAACGTCACAAAAGAAAACAAGAAATCGACGATTTCAGACTTCTGAAAAGTGTTTTGGATTCTTGTGTTTCTTATGATCTTATGATCATCGGAAAATACCCGATTTAATCACATCATAGAATGGTTTACTACTGATACGACTGTGTGACGTAATTACTCCGTCGTAATTACTCCGGCGTTTCACCGGTGTTTCATACCATGATTACACACTTCACATTCCTGGCAACCTCATACCGCATTCTACCACACATGGCATAAGTCAGAACTCACAACTTTGTCAATCAACTGAAACCCAATCTCCGCCAACTCACTTCCAATCCTCGCTTCTTAGGACAAGATGAATGCAAACTCCCCTAAACTACTGCTGCCCAAAACCATACTTTTGTCCCGGAAGTAATAAACGAAGGACATTTAAAGTCCACTGATGTGCATTGACATGTGCCCTTGATTATTGCGGGAAAGTCAAGTCTGTCAGTACATTGATTGGTTTAATGAAATCGTCTGTCTCTCCCCTGTACTTCTGGCGATGGCCGTACACCACGTTACGACCAATCACTCCCCGTATGATCAGACAGATTACAAATATTGACTTGAACGTACCGAATATACGATGAAATAACCGCTCGTTTGAAAAGATATACGATCTATTTTATCGAAGCGTCGATGCCTGCTGCGGCCGTTACATTCGTCATGGGGACAAATACAGCGGTGTTCATTTCTATGTAAAACTGACAATCGATAAACTTTGATCACTTCGTCTATACCAAAAGTACATTTCAAGGTTCTATTTTCATTAGGTCAATGGATGGTCAACAGTCGGTTTGTAAAACGTACAGTAAAACACAAACGTATAAGTACTCCATAAATGGGATAGCATTTGATCCCATAAGAACGGCTCTGTAGCCCATACGTTGAGTGGGTATACAGTATAGGGCAACTTGCTGGAACGTGCTGGAGGATGGAATAGAGAACCCCAAAATATATTTCCTTACCCTTGTGCATGAGAAGGCATTGTTGACTCACGTTTACGTGTTAAGAATTGACGTCGAAACTCATTTAATTTTTCTTTGGCCCAGTTAACGATCACTCTTTCTTTAACAAAGCTTAATCAATGACGTTTTCCACCAGTATCATTGCACGACTCGAAAATTGGAAGATTTTAGACTTCCAGAAATTATTTTGGGCTTTCGTGAATTTATTGCAACATTCAAATGCTCATGCGATCTCCGGCTTCCATATGTCGACTCCCGGCTAGATTCACCCCATTTCCTGGGTATGATCTTTTGACCTGTCATTCCATGCCAAGCTTCCCTCCACCCACAATGTACGTGCTGTCAACCAACGAGCACTGTCCGGAAAAACATACACACAAATCCCGCTCAGCCACCCAAAACAATACCACAAGAGACAGCCATCACACCAGAACGGTTGGAATTCCCCCTAGGCATGGAGAGAAGAAATAATCAGCCCCATTAATTATCCAGGATGGAATACACAAAATAATTTTAATTATTATACAAGACTGTAAAGCAGTGGAAAAATAGTCCTTATTTTGGAACAAAACATTTTTGGTAAAGAAATGCAAAAAAAAGTCCCGATAAACGTTATTGAATGTTCACAGCCTAAAACTCCATTTAAGCCATTAGCGCCATTTCTAGAGGCCATCTACTCGTACACCCTCACTCAGTGTTCCGATATGACCTCCACAGGTATTGAAAGCAATCGGATCTGCCTAAATTGTAATCGTTTCGATAAAGGGGCCTGCCATAACATTCAAGCTGACCTTGTCGAGTCTTTGAAGACGTTTGGAAGGCACTTCAACGAGATTGGTTTCTAAGGGAATGTTGGAAATTGTTAGGCGAGAATCGTCCGCCTGTGCTTAGATCATAATCCCCGGTTTTATCATACAAATCCCAAACTCCATTCTCGCTGTGGCAGGGTTGTTTGTCAAATAAATCAGGCGTGGACTTCCTTGTCTTCTTGGCTTGGTCCGTGAGTAATTGAGAAACAAGCCCAGATTTGTGGTTTTCGCCGTGGTTTGGTTTGTACTACGTGTTAGGGAGTAGCCTGGTATCCAGTCTATCGCGGATTGGACGCGATCAGTCGGGGCAGTAGGATCCTATGAGCTCTCCGGAGGGCGCACTCGGAGCTTTCAAATTCCCTTGAAATAGACTTCTGTTGTGTAAAACTTCCACCAACCACCGAGTGCCCAGTTGAGCCGGGCGGTGGAGAGCTTCTACAGGCGAAGGGAGCACCCCCCCTCCTACCGTCCACGATAGGCTCGATCACCAGGCTAGTTAGGTGTTAATGGGGCTAACTTTGAGCGTTGAGTGATTCATACTAACTCCGGATAGATCATAGATGGCACCATAACCACTAAAACACATTTTAATGCCTTCTTCGTCGACCTAATTTGCTCAAATACGAGATGCGTGTGCACTCACGGATAGCATACATCGTCTTTTGCTCAAAGTCTTTGTGGAAAACCATGCGTTAATAGGAATAGCGACAATACGCACACCCAAAATTACAAACAAACAGCCCATCCTTGTTGTTTTAAGCAAATACTAAGGGGAAATAATATACTATCCCGGAAACTAATAGCAAATGTTCCAGTGGTAACAGGAGCAAAACTGCTTGAATCCTGGTATCTCTCGCCGCTACCGCAGCAGGAAATCGATGATAAGATTTGGTGTGAGCCCTGACACTGATGGGGCGTTCTTTCAGCCCCGAAACAGTCATAGGATGTCCGATACAGTTAACCCTTTGGACACTATCTACCGGCTCATTTGTCTTGTGGTGCGGATTAACCATGGCGTCCTAACGGGAATCAATGGACCGTTGGTGCGGCTTCATCGGACCCCGCGGAGGGCCAATAGACCTTGTAGGATGTCAGAGGACCCTGTGGCCCGCTTATTGACAGGTGGTGGCATTAACCGGCCACTCTTTCAACACGCTTGACTCCAGATCGAAATCACTCCCATCATTTACGTGCTCAGAGATCTTGTTGTTTCGTTTTCAATGTCTTTTCTTACCTATTGAAGACGTTGACGCATCGAAGAATGCATTGCACAATACAATACAATATTTGTTTATTATGTGAATATATGACCTACTGCTCAGTCATTTTTCTTAACTTGGCAAACAAACAAACAAACAAACGAACAAACAAACAAACAACATGTTAGGGCTTACAGCTTTTGGATTGTCCATTTTATATAGAAGTTATAGCCGATTCAATCTTTTCTTACATAACCTCCGTGTATGGATGTTTTTTGTGATTGTCTGTTTGTTTGCCAGTGTGTGCGTTCTTATTTGAGCACAGCAGAGTCGCAGGAAGTGAGGGGGAACGGTGTTACACGAAGTTATACTTTTATTTCTTCAGAAGAAACAAACGACGTTTTCACATTGACTGCTTTTTAGGATTAGAAATACAGAAAATCATTTTACTCATACATGTACATGACGACATAAGTATTTCTATGACACCCCCAAAGGCCTCAGCCATACCCTTTTCAAACGTGAAATGTATGAGTGATTAGTAAGATACACAAATAACAGTTATAACTTGTTATAAATACCACTTTTGGCTACATAAGTACAGAGTACGTTTATCACCAACCTACCATGACTCGCTTCTGTGCAACTATCACGACCACATTAAAAGTAGGCTTCTTCAAAGGTTATTTAGTAGAGTGCAAATTACGTATACATATATCGGTCGTTTGGTGACTAGAATGACTATATGGAGAACAGTGATACCAAGTGCTGGATGCTGATTGGCTGGAGATTTGATTACGTCGTAGGTCGTCGTACGATTTGATGCCGTAGAATTCTTAATCAGACTGTAACAGAAGCAACCGCCGTACGAAACACGACTGTACTGATGAATTTTGCAGAACACCTGCATGACTACGATGGTACGGCGTATGTGACAGGACCTGGTCCCATGTCGTGCCGGGCGCTCATGTCTGTTTGGGCGTGAGAAGACGCACCACCTCCTTGAAGGAATCCAGTCCCCACGACCTCTGCCAGTCCCCCATCCGGTCTGCTCTCAGCAGCTCCTCTATGTTACACTTGGAGGCTGTGTGATACATGACAATAGGACATTCATTGATACCAACTTCAGATCTAATGCAAGAAAAAAGCAAGACGTCTAAAGTGTTAAACTTGACCTGTAAACTTCAAGAATTGAAGCGACAAAACATTATACATGTTTCGAGAGGTCTTTTTATTCCTGTATTCAGATGGTATTCAAGAAGTGACACTAGTACCATTACAACTTTTACTCACCTATACACGCTAGTCAGTGCTGCTTACACAACTACCTGGTTTCACTTTTACAACTTTTACTCACTTTTAGGGAAAGAGTTGGTAGAGATAAGAAGTCAGTCCTTACCAAACAGTTCGTCCACTCTGGCATCGGAGATACCGTGAGGCGGACCTGGAATAAGGAGTTTGAAATGCTACTGTAAAATGGACTGAACTGAACACATGTCTATCATAAGCTTGAACTTAGCATAACGCAATAGAAATGCAAAACAATTCAAACGGAAATCGGAACTTTTAAGTTTCCGACATCCGTGAAGTTTTTTTTTTTTTGGTAAATATATAAATATATGGAACTGTGGAGGGTTACTTCTTGAATTCCTATACGTACCTCCCACTTACTTCCACCTGTCCACCTGTGCAGACAAACTTTCACTGTCTCTGGTCTCTGTCACACATACAGACATACACACAAACCCACTCGAAACAATACTTCCGTACCCGTTGGACATATACAGAGGTAATGAAGGTCCATCTCATAGTAAATACAAGCTCCAATATATATATATATATATATATATCAATAAGGCCACGATATTTAACCCATTCTGCGAACACACCTGCAAACACGGTGTTCTCCAACTCGAACAGATCCAGCAGGTAGGCGCCGGTGGGCTTCAGCAGGGGAACAATGACTGCCGCATACCTGCCGGACAGGGACACGTACAGGTTAGTACAGGAACATGGCACTTGTATGTCTTACTGGTTCATAGTATATTCATGGTGACATGTCAGTTTAATAAAATACTGTAAAGTTAGTAGGTAACTAAGTACTAAAATGTGAGTGCGCGTTTCAACACTACTCCAGTTACGTGTGGATAGGTGAGATAAACAAACATCCATACTTTGTCACGTCAGCAGTTTCACCAATGTTAGCAGTCATATACAATGTATAGGATATAGAAAGACAACGTTGAAGAGTCAAAGGAGACAAATATAGGGGCCGGTCACATACGTCATACCATCATCGCACGATCGCAAACTAAATGCATCTTGGGATAGCCATGCATGTGTCCTGCAACATTCAGCTGTCTTATTAAACAAAACGACTGTCTTAGAGATCCTTGCCGGCGCCGGCGGATGGTTCTGTCACAGCCCGCTTGAAAATTCTACGGCATCAAAATTCGCAGGACGACCTAGGACGAATGTGACTGCGCGGTAACGATTGACTTCCTAGTTGCCTGCCTTCATAAGACCGTGTCGGGAAAGAGCACTGCGCATTAGCGCCCATGTGCATGACGTATGGAGAATCTTTGACATGAAGTCCTGCCCCAGACTTAAGCTTCATGGTGGGTACAAACGGTCGGTGCTTTATGGCGTCTTTATTCTCCAAGGCGAGGAGCCAACTGATTGCGTTAATGCTTTCCTCAGACTAACGCCAGGCGATGTTTGATGCGGATTACCTCTCAGTGTTCCACACGAACAAGTTATTTGGCGCCAGCTAGGTCGCCCTCCACTCTCAGGGAAGTGACCGAACAAGCGTTTGTCTCTCCGAGCGGTCGTTAGGCTGTACATGCAAGGGGTTTTTGATGGCGTTCTAAACACTAAACAGCGTACTGGAGTATTATTCGTTCGCTTTGACACTGTAAAATCGGGTTATTCTTTATATGTATGCATTGATTGATTTCATTTCCTTGTTTTGTTACATCTGTGGACGGAGTTTCGTTTAGTACGTTTGTCTGTTTGTTTGTGTGTGTCCGTATCTTTTTTAAAATACAGCAGAATCAAGGAAAGAAGTGTAACCACAGACGTATGTAACCACAGACTGACAGGAGGGTTATTAGAGGTCAAATGGTCTTTCCAAAGGCCGGGAGGAAGTGACAGTGGGATATGTACAGAGTCAGCAAGAAATTCACAGTGATGAAGTTACGAACACAACTTCACCTTACTTTTTTTCCATTTTTTTTCTATCACGGACCACCCTCACCCCACTGACCGTACCTGTCACAACCCTGGGCTGGATACCTCATGGGGCATTGCCCAGTACTGAATAGAATAGAAATACTGAAACAAGCTTATAATAAAGTCACAACTTTTTCACGTAGGTTTAAAGTCTTCGACTACATACGACAGTAGTAAGTTTTCCTCGATGGGCAATAAATAATGACCAGTCCAACAGAGTACCCTTACTTGTCTCTGTCCTCCGGATTGGCTGCCGCCATGGCTCCCCGGTCCCAAATACAGTCAAACGTCCCGATGACGTCACTGGAAAGGTAACGAAGGCAAACGTTGAACTGCTGCATTCCGAGCATTGTGATTTTTATAAACAAATCCGAAACTATGTTGAGATACCACAAAGCACTTTTGATGCAAAGATGATGCCCACTTCAATAATCATTGATACTGTCTAAGAAGCCCACAGTTATCTTCACAGCGCCTCCTACCGTAGGGCAAGAAAACTGTGTTCGACGCACACGCCGGCGGATATTCAACAGTACATGTCACTGTTAACTACAACTCCGGATTATGATCTTTAAAACTTACCTGGTCAATTTGTAGTAATCACAGTTGAAGAGTTGCAAGTCAATATCAGTGGCCTAGAATAAAATAAATGCCATAGAATCAATTTCTAATATCAAAATGATCACACGTACACACGTAACGATAAGTCACACTAACAGTCATGCTGTGTGTATATGATATTACTGTGCAACAAAAGAACCCATAAAAAATTGGATCTGGAACCATCGTTTTCGGGTTATACTAAGCTAGATTATCCAATTACATACGGTTTACCTCAACCGTAATGAAATTGATATCTTAAGCTAATTTTTCATCATCGAAAGGCTTTCTTTTGAAGGCTTTCTGTTGATAACGTCGTTTTGTTCCTTCAAATGTATAAAATGAACCATTCCTAATGATCTACTATGGCTGTAATTTACCTTGAAAAGTGTTCCTTCCACGCCCTCTATCCTCTCTGTTGTATACTGCAGGTCATGTTCTTCGAAGAACTGGCGGCATGCCATTTCCACGACTTCATTTCCCACAACGCCATGTCCCTTGTCTGAAAGCCTACATATAAATGAAAAGGAAAATGTACCTAATAGTAATGGATGTATGATAGGTACACCGTATTGTCTGACGTACATAAAACAAAATACAATTGTACAATGGGGCTAATATTTTCATGGTTTCCATCTCACAAATGATCGATGTCCCAGTCGTATCCTGAGAGTTTGAACACTGTGTTAGTAAGCTAGACATACCATTTCATATCCAGGGTTTTCCCACACATGGGCACGAAGATCCGCTTCCTTCCCTCTCCCTGAATCATCCTGTTATAGAACTTCTGCAGGTTCCTGTGGAAGAAGAGAGAGACACAACGTAAAAGCGTCTCCTTGCGGATCAGTGTATTAACGCAGGAATGAGAAACATGACGAACGTGGGTGGTGTTTCGTCAAGGAGCCTCTAAGCTCATTGGTTTCTTGCATGTTACCTTGTGTTAGGACGAAGATGAAGATGAAAAGGAAACGTATAATAGGCCGATACTACATGTGTATCAACATAAACATCTATTATCAACATATGGATAAAGATACAAAGTAGAATTGATCTTAGATCAGCTATTGGATTTTATTAAGCTGCTTATCATGAACTGTTGTACGGTTAATTTCAAGATGTTAACATTTTATATTGCAATTAATTCCATTCTTTTACAGACATAACAGGTGCCTCGCACTTGTGGAGGTGAATCCCAGCGAAAGGAACACGTTACTACTGCGAGTTTTTTTTTCAGATGAGGTTTTCCCTACCGAGGCCCAGTGCACATTTTCTTGTTTCACACATTTGAATCTCCTTTCCTGTAACTCTGACCCAGTTCCGCTCGCCAAAACATCACCACTTTGTTCCCATAACACTTCCTTGTGACAGCAAACTTCACAGGAGGCGACCGCAGAGTTTCTCAACGGGAAAATAAAGGTCAGATCTCAGCCAGAGATCCCAGACAGTAGCCGACCATAAGAACCGTGTGACAGAGACAAAGTCTATTAAAGCTTCATCTGTCACTGTCTTTGGGGATGTAAATGGGCAGGTGTCGAGGGAAACCCGTAAGGTTTCAGAAAGTTCATGGGCAAAAACGCAACGCCTCGAGTATCAGTGACTGATGGACGCAGCTGTTCTTGAAGTGTGCCACCACAAGGTCTTTGTTACGTCCTGTTTATGCCAGGGATTTCTCAGGAACGCACTTGCCCTACTTTCGCTGTGTCCTTCGCCACATTACAAGGCAAGAACAAGGTCGGCCCCGTACTGCGAGTGGTCACTCAACACCCGCTAGGGGGCGTACATTATGTTTTTGTAGGGAGGGGACACCAATAGGGCACTAGGTTCTAGGTCATCTTAGGAAAGATTCCCATATGATTCCCATAGTATCAAACAGCACTTGAAGAGACCGATCGCTGTTTTATTTGGACAATGCAGTTTATAAAAGCTTTGAGATAAAATGTGATATTGAAAACACCTTTGGTCTTTTCGTCCTTAAAACACGCCTAGACATCAACAGGCGCAAACCGTGGGGAGTCATAAATATTATTTGAAAGCATGGCAGACAACAAGCCATTGTTCAAGACGGGATCCTTCGGTCCTCGACCTGAAATAACCCGTAGAAAGTAGGGCGATGTCAGGGTCGACTGTCTCAAGAAGCAGGTTTACGTCCGTACGGTAATATCGACTTGACCTGGGGCTGTTCTTATCGAAGTTGTAAAACGGCTGAATAAAACAAATAAAAATGACGACACATAGATAAAGATCATTGTTTCAACAACAAATTTTGCGAATAAATATTTAGCAAAGAACACATTTTCATCTGCCGCAGTCACAGTCACACCAACAAAGTGATCTGTTGAATCATGTGTTTTCGCAGAGACGAGATGGAATGCAGACGGAGACAGTTTTTGTTGTCCTCGTGAGCACGTGTGTGTGTGAATACGGGCGTGTAGAGGGCACACGTGTTGGCGGAGGGTTCGTTCAGAAACTAGGGAACGCCAAAACTTCCTATAGACACAGGGCAAGAAACTATCGTCATAAAAGTAGACAAGCAACCAAGATCTATGCGTTTAACTGTCTTTTTCCTAAGGGAGGGGGCATTTAGTATCCTGAGTGTCATTTATTAGTCAGCTTTACCGGGTCTCTCATACCCCAATAATAAAGTAGGAAAGTTGGTAAGGGAGTGAGTATGGGAGTCCCGGTAATGCTGAGGTCACATATTTCCAAACCGGGACCGGGCCGGACAACTTTCGGGAACGAAAAGTACTACAAAAGCCAACAAAAAACAAACAAGTTTTTAAGATAACCACGAGTAGTATTTGTGTATATTCCTGATAAGAATTGTTGATTTTTCCTTCATGTAAACAACCCGACCGGGCCCTGGTTTGGAAATGTGACCTCAGCAGAAACTAGACGCGAAGGACCAACAACAAGCATTCTTACTTCAGATTGCGTCTGTTTGGAAATTACTGATGGAACAGACACCACCACAAGTTGTTTTATAGTTAATAAGTTAGTTAATGATGTTCTAATCTTACGCACGGGTGAACCTTGGACATGTGGAACTTGGTCTTGCCCCTGCGCCATTTGTTGTGCCAGTCCTCCAGTGTCATGGTGCGAGTCTCCACTTCCTCCAGGTCCTGGTTCACCATCTTCACCATTCTGGGCTTTTCTAATTATGAGTGAAGACAATAGAACGTTAGCTACAACAACACTACAACTACCTAGATATGTCATATCATAAAATACTAGGATAGAACCTTCTTGATACGAAAGCAGCACCGTTGTGGGATAATCTTTTTTCTTTATTTCATAGATACAATCTAAACTTTTGAGTGCCAATAAAGCCTCTATAGCCTTCGAGGAAAGGGTGATTACCAATAATGAATAAACCAAGAAATCCACTCTAAATACTTCGCGGAGGTGTGAAATCTTCGATTTCTAGTTTTATGAAAGACTAGCAATTCGCTCTTCGACCATTGAGACAGTGGCTATTTTTAAGTTCTACGTTTTAACGGGGGTAGGCGGGGCTTTTGGATCGGTCATTTGTAAACTCGCCAGTGCAAAATATTCGTTGTTTGAGAGAGAGTGAAGCAGCCTAAATTTTAGACCAAGGAATAGTTGAAACACACTCGTTTTAAAAATATGTCGGTGACGTTTCGGCAGGGGAGCCACCTGGAAGACGTCACTTCCCCCGCCCCGGGACGTGTGCGCCGGGGGACACGTGGGAAGGTCAGGTTCGGCCGGGGTGGCGTGACTTTGACACCGGCGCTGACGCCTTCCAGATGTGGAACCGACACCCCTCACAGGAAGTACAGCCAACCAGATAAGGCGACTTGAAATGTCCCGCAAAATATAATCAAACACATTCTTTCACTTGACAATTGTGATTTTTTTTCCCTTCTTAAAGGAACAGGTACACTTTCTGTCTCTGAAATTGACAGATAATAGTAATCTCTGACCAATTATATCACTTTTTTACAATAGCCACCCGTATAGCATAACTAATCTACGATTTAGCAACATGACTGTGTTTGACATGTTTCCTTGGTAACAGTACGACAGACCGAGCACAACAACACTCGATTGTTTGGGATTATTGGCCACGTGCCCTGAGCTACTCTCGTACATAAAATGGAAACGTCTTGGCTAATGCTGAGGTCACATTTCCAAACCGGGGCCCGGCCGGGTAGTCATTTGGAACGAAAAATATGGTATAAAACGCAACAAAGCACAGGAACGTTGAAAAATGTCAACAATGGAACTATTTACGTATATTCTTGATGAAAATTGTTGATATTTCGTTAAACAAAACAGCCCGGCCGGGCCCCGGCTTAGAAATGTGACCCCAGCATAAATGCCCGGGAACGAGAGGGTATGCATGAGAGATTTTCAACGTTATGTCTGTTGAGCAATGCAACCACTTGTTTCATAGTTCTTACTTCCAACTAACTCATTTAAACTTAAGCAAAGATTCTGCATTTAAACAAAGCAAAGCAAAGTATGTCAAGTTGCCATTGATACCATGTTTTGTTCTTCTGCGACGACGTAAAAGTGTAACAATTTTTAAAAATTGATATGTCAACGGTAAAAAACGTGAGATATGCTTATCTTTTCATTTTATTGTGGTTGAGTGAAAGCATCAACATATTTATCATCTTTATCTGAGTCTTATGCAGTTTTCTGCGTGGGTATGAATCATAGTCTGGTCACACCGTCATTTCAGTACGAGATTGGTGTAATTCCACAGTACCTCCCTAACCATATTAGCCCATAGCCTTTTAACCACTGCTACTTTATCCGCGACTTATTACCTTCGCCAAGAAGGTTATGTTTTCGTAGGCGTTCGTGTGTGTGTGTGTCCGTCTGTCTGTCTGTCTGTCTGTAAACACGATAACTTGAGAAGGCTTAAATGGATTGACTTCATATTTGGTAGGTGGGTAGGTCTTGATGAGACCTCGAAATGATTAGATTTTGGGCCCCCTAGCGGCTTCTTATGGTACTGCAGCTGAACTTCCGGTTTTGATATCTCGTGATCTAGACGTGCTAGGGTCACGAAATTTGGATGGTAGGTAGGTCTTGTGCTGGGGAAGAAGTGACATAGCGTTTGGGCCCCCTAGCGCCTTGCTCGGGTACTGCAGGGGCATTTCTTTGAAAATATTCATAAGAGGATAACTCAAGAACCGGAGGACGGATCGTCGTGATTTTTGGTATTTAGGTAGCTTAAGTTACGCTTGACATAATTATGCGACAATTATGCAAATCTGGATGTAATTTGCATAATTAATGAGGAAATTCTATAAATCAGCTGCATTACATTATAGGACTATTCAAGCTTGTGACATATGCAATTGAGAACGAGAGAAACACAGGCAGGTATTGATTATGTAAATTAACACTTAATTTGCATAATTAATGAGAAAATGTTATACTTCCATAATGGTAATTGCCTGGAATTTCACACTTGGGGTATCTGAAAGTTAAGTGAAGGAGAACATCATTAAACATAACTTATTCAAATAAGGACCTCATTTGCATAATTTATGAGGAAATGATAGAATGGCTTTCTTTGTTAAGATAAAGCTGTATTTTGATGGCGAATATGATCAACTGACATAATTTATGCAAATAAGGATCCTATAAGGATCCTTTGTCAGTCATAAAGATTAACATCATTTGGCGAAGGTATGAGATCGTGGGACTCTAGTTATCTAACTGCGTTGATGCTCATGCCTTAGAACATAATCATTAATTGGACTTTGTGAAAACGTGGGTATACCTTGTCCCTGTGTTATATCATGTAGTACCGTTAAGCCTAGAGGCGCCTGTATTAAGTAACGGATTATCCTGGGTCCTTCTAGTGGGAGGGACTACATTTCCTGTACCTAATCCATCTGATGAGGGGGAGAGGAAGAAACTTCTTGGAAGGGAAGGATGTCCGGCCGAAAAATGGAAAAAGAGGGAAAATTCTTCTAAAAAGGAACTTGAGAAAGAATTAATCAAACCCGTACTTGAGAGTGGATATTTAAATTCACCGGCTCCATATCTGTTAAATATCACCAGACAAAATATCACCAGGTGTGGTTGTGACTCTCAAGTGTGTAACACGATAACTCCTGATGAAGGGAAAGGAATCCTTTTAAAAGCTTGATTTGGGCCTTGCCCAAGTACGTTTCGCAGATGCCTTTGCTTTGTTTTCAAACACCAGAGGCAAAGCTCAGGCCTCGGGAGAGGCAAGAAATATGTCTCCAAGGTCGATTCCACAGCGAGGAGTAAATCTGTAGACTCCTAGGAGGATCCAGGTGCTACTCTGGTCTGTCGACAAGAAGCAGACAAACTTGCACTTGGGACGTATTTCTGCCATCTAATATTTCACGCCAAGCAATTATACCAAAACCTGCCTTTGCAATCCCCCCCCCCCTCGCCAAGAGGGGTGTGTTTTTTAAGTGCATGATATGTATATGCTTGTCTGTGTGAACAGTATAACTCGGGAAGTTGTGGATGGATCCTAATGGTATTTGGTAGGTTGGTAGGTTGTAACAAAATCTGGAAGCCAATGGATTTTCGGCCCCCTCGCGGCTTTCCATGGTACTTCAGCGGAATTTGCTTTATCGTCTCGTGTCCTAGACATGCTATAATACCCATTGGTAGGTAATACATGTGCTTCTTGTTCTAAGAAACATGTGACATGTTTGGATTCCCTAGCAGCTTGTTTTGCAACTGCAGGAGCGTTTTATATATATCTAAGTATCAAAAAATATAGAATAACATAGTTCAATATACTCAGGTCTTTCTGGAGTCTTAGCTACACTGATTATGATTAAAAACACTTTCTCCACACAAGTTATACACAAGCTAGAACACTACAGGCATGTCTACATGTACGGTTAACAGCAAAATCATTTATATACTCTAAGTTGTAAATCATGAACAATTGTGATTTGATCACATTTGCAAAACTATGACCGTAATCTTAAGCAAGAAAACTTTATTGGGCATTCGCCATTATACATATAGATATCGGCAGATAATAGCAAAGGTATGTGTCATGGGTATGTCTATAATATATAAGAGATGTTCTTTCATCGTGTTCCTCAGAACTCAGAGTAGCGATCTGCCGGCATACCGTCGTCTTACTCGCCACAGCTATATAACGATCGGTCCCAACATATTTGAGATATTTTCCTATCGCAAATATCTAGGTTCTTTTTATACTATCGATCGACAAAAGTTCAAGGCTTTCACAGAAGAAGCTGAAGCGAGACCCAATCGTAACAAAAAATCACCAG